GTGTGTGTGTGTGTGTGTGTGTGTGTGTGTGTTTCTGAAACTGAAAGGAGAGAGGCTTCAGTTCCTGGAATCAAGAAATAATGGAGAACTGACGATGATTGCAAAGCTCATCTCCCCAGCAAGCTTTCTGGCTTTTTCAGTTCTGACTTGGTGAAGCCAGAACTCCTAATACCTCTGGTTTCCTCAGCTTTTAGCATCAATCGGATTCAGTAGAATCTGTCAACTGCGTCTTCCTGGGAGGTAATAAATTAGGAACAGCAATGCCAACTCCAAATATAAACAGAAGAGTCATGGAATCTTCCTAGGGGAATACAGAGAATTCCACAAATTTTTTCCTTTTTGCTTCTACACCACAGTCCTCTTATCTAATTGATCTACATGGAACTGGTCACTGTTTATTTGAATTTGATTCTGGGGAGGGAACTACAATGGTATATTTGGTGTTGTGTAATGGCATTTGTCCCAGATGGCAGTCATCGCTTCGCCGAGTGGAGTCACATTGTCAGCCCCGTCACAGGCACCTTGAGGGCACAGTCCTGACTCATTCCATTTACACATATTTTTTTTTCCATAATACAGCCATTTCTCCATGAACTATAACTATTTCTCTCAAAGTACGACTCTTAGGATTAACTTTGGTAAAGTTCTTAGGCTTTTGTAATACTCTAAAATGGCAAAACCTACTAAATGTGAGCAGGGGAAGGGAATGTGTTCTCTTTTAGACTTTGGAGGCAGAGTCTGGCACATTTGTATCTAATGAAAAACTGATCTTCAAGGGCCATTTTTTTTCTCTGTTATGAAAATTAGTGGAGGTAGGTCCATGTTACTCTCCACCAAGGTCCCCTGAGAAGTATGGAATTCTGCTGACCAACTCAGGCCTAGCACAGTCAGCCTCTGGAGCTGGTGAGGGTAGAGGTGAGGGTCTTCCTACGCCTTCCTTTATTTATCTTTGAAGAAAGTGACCATATATCCTGCTACTCCTTATTTCTGTTCCATTTTGACATTTTTAGCTTGGCTAATTCCTCAGTTTTTATTTTCTTTAAAAATAATCCTCCTCACATTATAAAAAGAATATATAAAACGTATGTATAATATATTTAAAGCTCTTATAGAATAATAATGAATGGATGATCCATGAATGTAAGAGGGGAAAATCCTAAATTTAGGAATATATGGTCAACCTTTTGTATGCAAAGAGGAATGGTTCCAGGATCCTCTCAAACACCAAATCCACAGGTGCCCAATCTCTTATCTAAAATGTCATAGTGCGTTATCTACACACCTCCCTTTATACTTTAATCATCTCCAGATTACTTCTAATACCTAATATGATGTAATTGCTATATAAATACATAGTCACTGTGCTGTATTATTTAGGAATAATAAGAAAAAAGTCTATAGATGTTCAGCATAAATATAATTTTTTTTCAAATATTTTCAATCCATGGTTAGTTGAATCTGAGGAACGACAGATTGATGGATGGATAGATAGATACTCTTATGTTTAACTGACTAGTCCTTTGCTACCATAAATAAGACTCTACTGTACCTCTCTGTATAAGTCCCTATGGGAACATTTGTGATTTCTCTAGGACATCTAAGGAGGAGTAGGACAGCTGTTGGATCACAGGGTTTGTACATAATTAATATTGCTAGGTACTGGGAGGCTGTCTCCAGAATAGCCACCTAGTCCTGGCTTGGTCCATTATTAAAGATTTCAGTGGCACTGGGTGCTTTGCAATCCCTTCACCTTACCCTGCAACTGTCGCCCTGGAGGGACACAGAGTGACTCCTTGTACCAGCTCTCTTCTCTCACCTGCAGCTGCACCTACTTGCACCTATAGATTTCCGTGCCTGCCCCTGGACACTGGAGCCCCTAGCCTGTTTGGAGGAGTGCCCGGGAATTTTGCATCCTCCTCCACTCCCACTGCAACCTATAGTAGATGACTTGATGGAGTGGGAGTGCAGGTGCCCAGCTGTTTTGCCTTGAGGAGGGTAAGCTCCAAGCCCCCAGGAGATCAGGCTGAGTCTAGCACATCGCCTGAGATCTCACCTCGGTTTCTTCTCTTTTCCCAGCCTGCTTCTTCTACTCCCTTACTGGTTCCTTCTGGGAACTGTGCCTTAACAAATCACTCACTCTCCAATCCTCGGCTCAAGGTCAGCTTCTGGAAGACACTGGCCAAGGATAGATAGCACACAACTCTGT